GAAAGCCTAAGTGCAGATGTGATGGCAGAGGGGAAAACACCAGGGAGAGAAAAGCATCATTTAAACTGAGGGGCACAAACGCACAAAAGGAAAGCCACAAATACATGTATGGTGGAAGGCCCTGGCTGCGGGAGCTGCGGAACCCTCTCCCAGAGGGAGTGAGCAGGGCAAAAACCGCATGAAACAGTCTTTTTTCAGTGAAGTTCAACCAGTTTACGGAAGGGGCCATAAAGGGTCTGATCCTTCTGGCAGCCTGAGATAGGACTTCCAATGCCCATGAGGACCCTTCTTAGTATCAAGTTAAAAAAACAGACCAAAGCGACAACTAAATATCGGGGGTGAGCTTGTGGCTCCCTGGCTTTGCGGAGGGAGAGATGCTCGGGAGGACAGACAAGACCAAGGTGATGGAAGAGCAGAAGGAACTTGGATTTCGGGAGAGAATAGATGCACGCATAGCCTTGTGCCATGACAGCCAGGCCAGCCTCCCTTGCTGTACTGCTGACCTGGAGCCCCTCCAGCTCCCGCAGAAGGACTTTGATTTCCACGGCCAAGTAAAGTGCCCAGGGTAAATCTCGTCCTGTCCTCTGTCAAGGTCAGACGGGGCAGGGGGAAACAACGCGGGGTGCCAAGGAGATGCCAGTCCCCGAGCAGCGCTCCTTGACTGCGGAGACCTTGCAGGGCATAGAGCTGAGCTCCACGAGCGAACTGACAGTGTCTGAGATACTCCAAAGCAGAGTAGGTGCCTAATTAAAAAATAAACATATTTCCTGCTCCTCGCCTCTGGGAAGCCAAAATCCCGCAGTGCTCGGATGACAGGGAAAAAAACTCCACCAGACCAAGAGGGAGAGAGAGAAAGAGGAAATTCTGCCACAGAGATTAGCAACGGGAGAGCCTTTGTAGGTCACATCACGTCCATCATCCCTGGGCACGCAGGCTGGCTCCGCTCCACCCGCCTGGGAGCGGGGGGCACACGTACCCCCTCTCCCGGCACCCAGCCCCAGCGGGACCAGCTCGCTGCCGGCGTGATGTGCTGTGTTGTAAACAAACCCAGGCGGATGGATGGACGGACAGACCGCCTGTATTAATCACGACCTCGGCTGTCTCGGGGCTCTCCGGCCACCCTCCGAGTCACGTCACCCCGAGGGGACATCGCCCACCCACCCGGCCAGAAGCACAAGGGCTGCCTCCCCACCGCCGGCAGCAAGCCAGGCCACCTTCCCCTTCCCTCCTCATTTCCCCAGCCTGGCACTGCTTTTATTTTATTTTATTTTCCCCAAGCCAGCCTGACGCCTCTCCTCCTTGCTCCGGCGCGCATGTGTC